AAACCATGCAGTTAAATTCTTTAATAAGCAGCTTGCAGTTCCAATCCAAGATGTTAATGGTCAGCATCCTAATCATTATGTTAACCATTTTCATCATGTAGTGATCTAGCTGGTGTCAATGCTGGAGAATGTGCCAGTTATTCAATTTATTGTGCAGCTATATCAACAACATTTTTAACACTTCAATAGAAATATATTTGCGCATCAACAGCAAGTCAATAATGTTCAGTTTAAACTGCAACATCAGGAAAAACAGATCCATCTGAATGTGAAAACAAATATGTTTCTTATGGTATTTGTTAATATAACGCAACTACTTCATAATGCTAAAAAATTACAATGTGTTCAGAGATTACTTCTTAAATGTAATGTCAACGATTAGTTCATTCTTGCTATTGGTAATTACCAACTGGAGAAGCAACCACAGGTTCTTGTGTAGCTACAAAATGCTCATACATAACAAATAAATTAGAATGCACTTATGTTTTGAGCTCATTGACAACACCATCTGCTTCTAGTGTAACTTAATGTACTTGGTAACCATCTAACGGTTGTTAACCAGCTGCAAATATCTTAACTACTCTCTCATCTAGTTAGTGTTACTCCAATACTTTGATGATGTCAAGATGGACTTCTACTTCAGGAGATACTGGTTATTGTGCCTCATGCACCTAATATAGTCTAACTACAACCCTTAAATCTGTATGTTCATGCTCAGATTTATCCTCATATGAATGTGCTTATGCTTCCCCTTAATGTACATACAATTAAACTAGCACTAAATGCGTTACATAAACCTGTACATCTATTACATCTAAGTATTCATGTGCTGCAAATCCTAATTGTATCTATGTTGGAACTTGCCAACAATACACAAAATCCCCATCCTCTACTACTTATGGATGTGTGAATATCACAACTGCCACATCTTCTTTTGATTGCACTGCAGCTTCAGTCAATTGTCCTCAATTTACTCCAAATACTGCTGCAGGAAAACCTGGCACATGTGGTGTAGTAGAATAATGTAGTAAATTAAATAGTACTACATGCAGTACTGCTGCTCCTTATTGCGTTTTAAACAATAATTCATGTTAAACTATTAATAATTGCAAATAGATTACTGATATTGCAATTTGCAGTTTATAAACAAACAGATGCCAATGGAGTGTTGTCTTGAATTCATGTATAACAAAATCATGTAGTTCATATACCATTTAATCTGATTGCACTTATGTCTATACCTCTTATTCACCTGGAGATGTCGCTCTTTGTTACTGGGATTCAGTCAATAATGATTGTCGAAGTGCTTCCCTATCATTAGCAGAGACCTTTAATTAGACTAACACCACATAATGTTATGTAAACACAGGTCATGTATATCACTTGGACGGAAATGACTGTACAAGGTGCTTCTAAAACATTTTGAGCATTCTTCTAATAACAGTGCTCCTCATATTAATTTGAGAGTATTATCATTTACAAATATAAATAAACATTTTATTTCTTATCATTTATTTATTCTCTCTATAAAAGTTTAAATTTACATAAGAATAATTATATTTCTTATTAATTAATTAATATTTTTATGTATTTATAGAGAACAAATCAAATTTATTTTACATTTTTTTTAATAATTTTTAAAATATTAAGACTTAAAACCTAAATAAATATTAGTTAAATATTTCAATTATTTATCAATTAGATTTTCATGTCCCATCGATAAGTTTTTGTCAAAAATGATAATAAATTGTTGATTAATTTAGTTAAATAATACATAATTAAAATCTAAAAGCAATATCCATATACTTAAGAAAATCAAGTATTTTTATAAATGATTGAAATTGTTGTATTTGAATTAAAATGATACTAAAAAAATAAAAAATTTATCAAATGTTTATAATAATTAATAATAAAGATTTATATCTTAAAATATATGAATTGGCTTTCATAGTCTCTTTAAACTTAGGAAACCTTCTCCTTTTCCTCCACTATAACTAACTTAGAGTCTAGCTCTATTTGGTAATACAATAAAGTCTTAGGCATTCAAACCTAATAATATACATAAAAAATACCAGTATATTCTGAAGATTTCTTCTTTTAATCTAAAGTGGCAATATTCTCTCCATTGATAAGAACAGAGACAGTTTATTTTTCTTTAGAGAAAAAGGCATAGGCAATATGATAGACCCCAGGGGCAACAATCAAAATAGAGCTTTTTCCTTTTTCCCATACAAAATTTTCAGGCAAAGTATTTATAACCTCATATTCCCAAGGAATTAAATGATTTTATGTTTCACCTGATCTCCATTAAAATCTAGCCACAATATTTTCTTAACAAAGTGATTCATATATTTAATTTTAACTTTTGAGATAATTAGATAGATCATCTGCTGATACTTTAGTTTATAAATCATTATGTATAGCTTCAAATGCTTAATTAATTTCAGGTATATCTATATATTATTATTATTATAATACTTGCTTTAGTATCTAGAATAGTAATCATATCTTATATTCCAGCTTTGAGCATCATATCTTTTTGTATTAAATCTAAAGTATATTTTGTCAATTAAATATGTTTGGTTAAATCCTTTTAATAGGCTCTTTCATCTTGATCAATACATAATTTTTAAATAATGTTTTTTAATTCTTCAAAATCTTAGAAAAGTACTCTTTATTTTAAATTAATTTCTAATTAATTTAATTGTTATTCAAATGAAGATATTTTTTTAGAGACTATTTACGAGACTTCTTATTTAATATTTTTAAATCCATCTTAATTGGAACCAGATTTTTTTATTTCATTAACTCTTCTTTATAATTATTATTCAATTTAAACTTAGATATGTTATTCATCTTCATATGATAACTATTTAGCTTTAACTTCACTTATTTCCTTTAATTATAATAATTAAATACTTTATTCATTTATTAAACTTATCTTTATAATTGTTTAAATACTTAATCTGATTTAAATTCATCTAGATACTCTTACATTTAATCTACTTTTTATTATATATCTTTTTTTTATATTTTTATAGTATTAATTACTTTTTTAAGATCATCTAATTCTTCTCTTTTGTCATCATCCATTTATTTAATATTTTCAGATAAATTATATAATTCTTCTGTCAATTTCTCAGATAAATGAGTAGATTTCATTATAGTTGTTTACATTTATTCACTTGTGAATTATTTAGATTCTAAAATTTCATTTCTCAATCTATCAAGATCTGAAATAATTTCTTAAGAAAATTTATTAAATCTTTAAGAATAACCATCCATTTCTCCTTAAAGTGAATTTATAGAATGCATATATTTATCTAATTCTTTATTATCAACTTTTTTATTTAATTATTTTGTTACTCCATCAACTTATTATTTCATTTCAACCATCATAGAATTATTATCTTACAATCTAGAATCCACAACATTTTTTAATTCTTATTATTATTCTTTAATAACTTCTAATTGATGTATTTCAGCCTTATTTTATAATGAATTAATTAGAATTGAAAAATCTTATCTATCAACTTTAACTTCTAAAATTGAAGCAATTTTATCAATTTAATCTAAAGAAGCTTTTTAATCAAGATTTTAGATAATTGGTTATAAATCTTCTAAAGAAGAGTAATTTTATAAAATTTAATCTAATTCTTATTTACTAATCTTTTTATTTACTGCCTATTGTACTTAATGTTTACTAGCTTTTGTTTCAAGTAATTCATTCATTTCTTATAAATTTGCTTTAAGTTCTACTTATTAAGATAATTATGAAAAATCTTTCATACTAGGTACTTATTAGAATTTCTTTGAAATTTATGTTTATAATTCTTCAATTTTGTGTTTCATATTTTACATTTCTCCTTTGAATTCTCCTGATTATTATTTCTCTAACAATTATTTCATCTCATCAACATCAATTTTACTTAAAAAATCATTGAATAAATACTATACTTGCTCAACAAATACTACATATCTGCCTTTAAAACATAATCCTTTAATAAAACTTAAGAATCTTCATAAGTAATTTTAGTATCAAGATTGGCAGCTATCTCTGCTATAGTTCTTGAGATGTCATTTATATTGGCTTTAAGTGCTAACCCTGAATGAAGTTCATTTTTAGAAGCTCTTGTAGAAAGTTGCTTTTCTATTTCTCGTATACTTTCTCCTTATGATTTTACAACATCCGTTAAAGCCTTAAATGTCAATCTGATAATATCATTGATATTTTTCCATTCCGATTAAGACTATTGTTAATTTTGATGAATTCTACCTACAACAAATCTTCTACGATGGCTGTACTATATGGATCATTATCATCTCTGTGATGCATAATTTAATTTTGAATTTCAGTTGATAATTAAATATATTTAAAATTTCATTATACTTATTCTACAAATACACCTAACAAGAAGTATTTTTACATATCAATAACTGATAATTAAAGTAAAGAGTAAAATTAGGAACATTTATCTTAAATTACCATAACTATACAATAATATATTTATATATATTTATGCTTAATAATTTAGATAAAATAGAATATAACAAATATATCAATTTCATATTTTGCATATTTAAGAAAATGATTAGATCTAATTTATTAATAAAGTTTTCGATATCATTTTATTTTAAATTGAATATGATAAGGCATTAATAATAAATTCTTTAGTTAAAAAATTATAATTGTGGATAAGTACTATCATTAATTGATGAAAATTAAAAATGGTTATTGAAAACTAATAAATAAAATCATGTTTTCTAATTCAATGTTATATTTCATAATGAAATAAATTGAATATATTTTTTGATTCCTTTTATTTTAAAGAGATAATGAATAAAAGATTATTGAGGAGTATAATATTATTTTGGGATGAATGAAATGTTGAATGTTTGAATTTTCAATAAGATGGATTTAGATTTTAATAAAAGAGATAATAAGATGGGAATATAAATAATGAATTATTTAATTTTTATAATTGTATTATAAAATAGAAATGATTAACTTAAGTTAAATATTAGAAGGAGATAATGGGGAGATGACATTTTATTAAGATACTAGTCAAGTTGATTTGGAAGATATCTTATAAGAAGATGATGAGATTAGAGAGTAACTCAATCATTTGAATAGTGATTCTTAAACTATGGAATTTAATAATCAGAATAATGAATCATTCATTTTTGATTAAGAAGAATTCATTTCTCCAATTTAAATAATGTCTTTGGGACATCATTCTAAAACTTTTGGCATTTCAACAAATTATTTAATCAATTATTGGGAAAGATAACTAGCATTATTCTCGAATAATAAGAATAGCAAAACAATATAAATTTAAGATGCATCATATATATCAATCAAAGGATAAATTATAGCTGTTGGATTTGAGAGTGGTTAAATTCACATTTATGAAGGAAGTTAATTAAAATTAGCCCATAAAATACAGGAACATCAAACAACAATAATAGGTTTGAATATAGTAGATGTTTAAGCAAATGAAGTAATAATGGCATCTTCTGATCTGGATGGTAATGTGAAATTAATTAGAGTTGGTTAAAATTTATTTAGAAGTAAAATTGTAACAAATACTATATTGAATAAGTTTGAATATCCTGTTACTTAATTGATATCATAATAATTTAAATATTCTGATAGTGATAAGACTAGTTTATTATTAACTTTAGGAAATAGTAATATGGTTATAACATTATCAATCAATCCAGAAGTTAAGGTAGTACATGTTTTTGATAAACAAAAATCAAATAATGATCTTCATTGGGGTAAATGCAATCATGAAGGTAATCAAATATAATTATTATCTATTCAATGGAATTCATTTATTTAATTGATAACCTTTTTGGAAAATTCACCTTGGTATTTTTCATTCTATTCTGCTGATACTCCTTTAATTGGATCTAAATTCATTTCTGAAAATTTGATTATTGCTGCTACTGAAGGATAATTTCAAGTTCTTTACATTCCTTATTTCTCAAAAGGCAAATATTGTTTTAAATCTGATAGCAAAGCTAAAATTTCTAACACCAATTTCCATTAAAACATATATTGTTTAAGAGCAATAAGTAATGTAATCTATTTCATATCTGAAAATAAGTTATATTCATTACATGCATTAAGTTGGTTATAGTATCTTAAATCCTTAATACAAAATGATTCACCTTAATGGTCAATAGCATTAAGATTTCTTGTATAAGTTTATAGAGGTAAAGTTAAAGGAATGCCAAATTTAGAATTGGATGAAGATAGAAATGCAATTTAAACATTAGCTCCTACTTTAATTACTAGTATTACTAATACTAAAATGAATAGAGAATTGATATCAGCAGTTGTTTAATTTATTCTTCTTTGTTAAATTCCATAACATTTGATGATAGTACGATAAGGTTGTGAGAAATAATAGATTTTAGAAGATTATTATAAAGTTTTAGAACATCATTTAAAGAAAATTACTTAATTACCAAAAGAGATATTTTTTGATTTGGCAAATAAATTCTCTCCTGAGTCTTTCTAGAAATTAGTAATTAATCTGGATTTAAATTCAATTGATATTGGATATACATATGATGTATGTTTAAGTAAAGAAATATACACTCCATTATTGTATATATGTCCAAGAAAAGAGGAAGATTTTTTAACTCCTTTAAATAAAATGTTTGAGAAACATAAATAGGAACTATATGAAAAATGTTTATGGTTTATAGAAATTACATAAAAATAAATTCTATTTCCAAATGATCAGATTCCATTAGAAATATGGAAGAAAGCTGTAAGATAATAGATGTTATGGTTAATGGAAGTATTGGATGTGTTGTAAAGTGAGAAATTGTTTCAAATCTTAACAACTTATCTTAAATAACCTTGTTTAGGTGCATTACATCATGAATCTGTATATTCATATTTTAATATAACTTAAGAAAATTTATTGGCAACAAAGATATTTGAATAAGTAAGTAGTATTAAATAATAATATTTACTATAATATCTATTATTTATCAGTAAAATAATTGATTAGATTAAAGTTAAAGAATCAGAAAAATTATTATTATAGATATTTGAAATCAATAAATCTTATATTGATAATTATGTAGCAATGCCTGAAGATTTAGATTAAATCTTATAAATTATTTATTATTTAATGCCTCATACTGCATTAATTGAATAAGCATATGAAAGTTAATGTGTTGATTACATTGCTTATTACTTTTTATATTAAAATTAATACAACGAAGCCATTAAAATATTCTTTAATTATGAAGAATTCAAACTTAGAGTTTACAAATGGTTAGAATATTAACCTTATGATCCACTTATGTTAGATCATCTTGATAAACTACTTGAATTGGACCCTGAGAAATGTGCTAAAGTATTTCAAAGTTGGCCTATCGAAACTTTATAAAAACTTATTATTTATCAACCAAAAAGAGAATTATTACATGTATTCAAATATTTATCTATTGATCTTTCTTAATTTCTTTAATTGAAACTAATTGAATTGATTAGTATTCATGAACCAGAAAATACTATTTCATGGTTAAAGAATAGACAATATTAATTAGAAGATGTTGAATAAATATTTTAATAAACCAATAATATTGAAGGATTAGGATATATTTTAGAACAAAAAGGACTATATCAATAAGCAATAGATAATTATCTTTAAGTATATATAGAGGAATCTAGAAATTACATTTTATCATTTAGAAATCAAGATAGAGTAACATAATTGTTTTAGAACCTAATGAGAGTTACTAAAATAGCTGTTTAATCAGCTGATACTAATTAAGAATTATATTTATATATAGCACATAATATCTTTAATCCTTTGATGCATTAAACTCATTGGTGTAAACTTAAGAGATCTTATGTGTTCAATTAGTAATTTAGTTAGCTATTTATGCATTTATTTCGCTATTCTCCAACAGAATTAATCAAAATAATAGAAATAAATCATGAAACATTTAATTAAGTTCACTTAAAAAGTAGTTTTATTACAGTTTTTAAGGAATTTGGATATGAAAAATAATTAGTAGAAAAAATATCTAAGATTATTAGAAATGATAATATTAAATTGCTTAAGTTACTATATTCTTTAATGAACAAATCAAATTTATATGAAATTAATTGTATAGAGTGTTAACAAACATACACTTAAGATTAAGCAATTCTTTTAAAATGTGGTCATACAATGCATCCATTTTGTTTGGAAAACAAGTATTGTCCAATATGTTAAAATATCTCAGCTTAATCAAGTATATCTAAGAATATAATTAATAGTGCTTGAAAGTATAGGAGTAGAAGAATTAAAGAAATCTATCTTAAAATCTAAAGTAGATAATTAATAATTGTAATTATTGAAAAATGTTGATGATATAGATTTGGAAGATAATTTTATATAATCCACAACTTAAGATGATAAAGAAATAATGGAATTAAGATTATTAAATAAAATGGATATATATGATTAATTAACTGATTCTGCATTGCAATAGGTATTCAATTGTAATAATTGTAGTACAATTCTTTTTTAGATTAATATTTTTGATAGTTGTCTGACTTTATACTTTATATAATTGTTTATAAATAAAAATGCAGTTATTTCATATATTTAACTAAGAAATTAATTTAAAAAAGTTCAAAATTCTACATTATGTTCTGTGATCATCAAGGAGAATAATCATTCTGTATATGTTGTCAATAACTTATTTGTGAATTATGTATATGTTGTACAAATTCAAAAAAAATAAATGTGCCAAAAATACATTTAAATGCACTTTGTTCAAGATGTGATTAAACTTAAGCTTAAATTAAATGTGAATAGTGTATGTTTCAATTCTGTTAAGAATGTTTTTAATCAGTTCATAAAATAGGCAAATTTTCAACTCATATCAAAATTGAAATCAATTAAGATCTACACTAATAAATAGTCAAATAAATGTCTATAATTACAGAACTTGAATAATACTGTTAAGAATAAATGACATCGATTTTATAATATTTTGATTAGATCTAAGTAGTATTAGATAGGAAAAAAAAATAGTTTCTTGATGGTATATCTAATTATCGTAATTAATAAATAAAATAGCTTAAATAGAGAATAAATTTAATTGAAGCAGCTGTCAAAATTAATTCAGAATAAACTTTTGAAATCCCAGAGTGTCTAATTTATTAAAAAGAAACATTTAATTTAACCGCCAAAGAATAAATTATAGACTTGATTTTAAATATTGATATTTAAAAAAACCTTGACTAAAGTACTCTTAGTCCACGTAAAATTCTTACTTAATCAAATGTGAGAAGGAGTGCCAGTTGTAAAAAATTGGAATCTTAAGACAAAATTGTTGAGATTTGTGAAACTTTTGAAAAGAGAAAATTTATTAAATCATTGTGTTAATCTAATTCAATTTAATTATAATGGACTCATTCTAAATAAAAGGTTGACTATAATTTAGAAATGGGAATTGGCATGAAAATTAAAGGAGTTGAATAATTTAAATAAATTTACATAGGTATTGAACCATAATTTACAATTACTGGATTATAAGCGAAAACCAATTACAAATTTAGAATTTAAAGTATATTTGAAAATAAGACAAGTGAATTCAGTGAAATCTTGAATTTAACTACATCTTAATAATAATCTATTGAGGATAGTCTAATAATTTCTAAGAAAATAATAAATAATGATATTTAGGTTTAATTTGAGAAACCTGGATTAGTTTTAGGCACAAATCCATTATACTTTGGAATATGGTCTTGGGAAATCAAATTAATAATAAATGGAATAATTGAAGATTTGACAGCCAGTTTGGTTGTTGGAGTAGCTAATAAATAAAGAAAGATTGTTGGAACTACATTGAATTATGGTTATTAAAGAGACTCCTTGATTATTAAGGTCTTAGTTGATATGGACAATAAGTTAATGACTATAACTTCGAAGATGCATCCAAATGGAGAAAGATTCTATAATATAATAGGTCCTGTATTTCCAGCATTTTAAAATAAAAATACTCATAAAGGATCAGGATGTAAATTATTGATATAATATTAATAATTATGAATAAAAAAGAATTAAGAAAACTTAATTCATATGTAGATAAAGAAGTACTCAATCTGACAGGTGGTCTTTATCCATTTGCTCTTTTCTCATAAACAAAACCACTAAATCATTAGAAATGGATTTAAGAGGAAATAATGCTAACTAATCATAACATAGAAAAAGTGAAGGCATGGGTACCAGAACAAGAGAAAGGGTAAATGTTTAGAGGAGAAAAAGTCAATTACGATCCAGAATATCTTGAATTTAAAGAAGAGGAAATAAGTATTGATAATGATTGGAGTTTTGAAGAGACTTAATATTTATTCAATTAATTGAGGAACTTTAATTACAATTTCATAGTACTGTCTGATAGATATTCATATCAAAATAAAAACAGAGATATTTATTAATTGAAAGATAGATATTATAGTGTTGTTAATGAAGTATTATAGAAGAGGAATGAAAAATCACATTTTCTATATAATTATGTTTATGATGAAGAATATGATCGATTTAGAAATATGGAACTTGAAAAGTATTTAAAAAGAACAAAATAAATAAGTGATGAAGATAAAAAGTTATAAGAGGATCTAAGGAAAGTTGATCAATAAATAAAGAAATAAGAGAGGGAACATAAAAGTTTATGCAAATCTATTAATCTATAAGAATGGGATATTGATGATAAATCAATCAATTATATTATAGATATGTCATAAAAAAATGAAGAAGTTAAAAAGACAACTAATGAGAGAATAGTTTATTTAAGAAATAAATGGATTAATGAAGCATTACCATTACCTACTACAATTAAAGATAAATTGGATAGGTAGTTAAAAGAAGTGCTTTAAAATACTAAATTAGCTTTAAATTAAGAAATAGAAGAATTATTTTGTAATCTACGTAAACTCTAATTGGGTGTATTGAGTTAATAAAGATTATAAAAAAGAAGAGAATAAGATAAAAGACATTTGGAAGATAAAATTAAAAAACTTAAAGCTTAACATGATTCATAATAAGCTAGTGATATGAAAACTAAAAAATGAGATAATTTATATTCTAATTATAATTAATATTGGTTTCATTGTTTTACTATCTCAGAAAATTCATGTTCTTTGGCTAAGAAAATTCAAATTAAACAAAACAGTTACCTCTTTTTTCTAATAATGATCTAAAATATTTTGCAGAGAAGTCTACAACATCTCCTGGCTTATTTCTAATAACTTCCTTTGCATAATGTTTCAATATCACTGGTAATTCAGGAGGTACTACAATTTATTCAGCACAATATATTCTCTATTCTCTCACATCTGCCATTTTATTATATATTAAAATAATTAATTTAATTTGATAATTCATTAATTTATATAGATGACAAAATCACAAACAATTCTCATCTGCACATCTTATCAAAGGTTATATTTATTCTGTTTATTTCCCTCTAAGACACTCAATAAATTATCTAACATTCAATAATTAAGATGATATCCTTGTATTCCTCATACAATAGAACAAAACTACTTAACTTTCTCCTTCCTATGTAATATTTCACTAAATACTTGTGACAGTATATGCTACATCTCGTTTGAACAATGTCTATTTGAAATACAGTCATAATCTGTATTAATTCCAAAGTTAATCCATATAAGTAATGAAAAAAATAAATATTTAAAATACATAAATAATTATAGAATTAAATATTTATATAATAATTAATATATATAATTCTTATTTAATTCCTTATATGAAAAATATTCATTTATTATTAATAATAAATGCTTACTTGTCTTTTTTCTTGTCTGCTTTAATGGCCGCTTTCTAAAGGAATAATGCTTCTAATGACTTACCATCCTGTTCTATTACTGCACCTTATAAATTACAATTTTTTGCAGATATCAAACATTATCTTCCAAAGACTTTATAACAATGGACATAATCACTTTAATTATTAATTTCATCTAATTTTAAATCATGAATATCTTCAGGAAACTGAAGAACAAAGAGTCTGATAGATCCATCTTCCATAGCCACAGCCATATCTTTACAATTAGGAGATAGTGTTATCTTTGAAATAATTTCTATAAAGTCTCTAAGGATATAAACAGTGGCTAATTATTTGATGCTCCAAAATCTAATAGTTTTATCTTATGAACCTGATACAATCATTTAATTATCATGCAAAATAGATAAGCATACGATTTTACCTTAATGTCCNAGTTAATAAAGATTATAAAAAAGAAGAGAATAAGATAAAAGACATTTGGAAGATAAAATTAAAAAACTTAAAGCTTAACATGATTCATAATAAGCTAGTGATATGAAAACTAAAAAATGAGATAATTTATATTCTAATTATAATTAATATTGGTTTCATTGTTTTACTATCTCAGAAAATTCATGTTCTTTGGCTAAGAAAATTCAAATTAAACAAAACAGTTACCTCTTTTTTCTAATAATGATCTAAAATATTTTGCAGAGAAGTCTACAACATCTCCTGGCTTATTTCTAATAACTTCCTTTGCATAATGTTTCAATATCACTGGTAATTCAGGAGGTACTACAATTTATTCAGCACAATATATTCTCTATTCTCTCACATCTGCCATTTTATTATATATTAAAATAATTAATTTAATTTGATAATTCATTAATTTATATAGATGACAAAATCACAAACAATTCTCATCTGCACATCTTATCAAAGGTTATATTTATTCTGTTTATTTCCCTCTAAGACACTCAATAAATTATCTAACATTCAATAATTAAGATGATATCCTTGTATTCCTCATACAATAGAACAAAACTACTTAACTTTCTCCTTCCTATGTAATATTTCACTAAATACTTGTGACAGTATATGCTACATCTCGTTTGAACAATGTCTATTTGAAATACAGTCATAATCTGTATTAATTCCAAAGTTAATCCATATAAGTAATGAAAAAAATAAATATTTAAAATACATAAATAATTATAGAATTAAATATTTATATAATAATTAATATATATAATTCTTATTTAATTCCTTATATGAAAAATATTCATTTATTATTAATAATAAATGCTTACTTGTCTTTTTTCTTGTCTGCTTTAATGGCCGCTTTCTAAAGGAATAATGCTTCTAATGACTTACCATCCTGTTCTATTACTGCACCTTATAAATTACAATTTTTTGCAGATATCAAACATTATCTTCCAAAGACTTTATAACAATGGACATAATCACTTTAATTATTAATTTCATCTAATTTTAAATCATGAATATCTTCAGGAAACTGAAGAACAAAGAGTCTGATAGATCCATCTTCCATAGCCACAGCCATATCTTTACAATTAGGAGATAGTGTTATCTTTGAAATAATTTCTATAAAGTCTCTAAGGATATAAACAGTGGCTAATTATTTGATGCTCCAAAATCTAATAGTTTTATCTTATGAACCTGATACAATCATTTAATTATCATGCAAAATAGATAAGCATACGATTTTACCTTAATGTCCTTTTAATTCTAAAATTGAAGTAAAATCTAAAGTTTCAGTTACTTCTTTAATTAAATAAATGACACAGCCTCTTGCAGCTGCTAAATTATTACTATTATTTCCAAAAACTATTTAAGAAAAATATTCATCATTTTTTTCAACTATAGTTTTACTTTGATTACTCTTATAATTCCAAAGGACCAATTATTCTCCTCCTAATGCAATAATAGTTTCTTACTACATAATTGAAAATGTAATGAATTACTAAAATGATTAAAAGGCATAGATAGCTGGATATTTTGTGAGATTGAGTGATTCCAAATAGTATTTTTTTTCATCCTTCCTTTAATAGAGACTATAACAACAAATATCCTTTGTAAATCGATAATGAGTTAATTCTTTCTCATAGTAAATGACTCGTTATAGAGTGATTTAATTAATTTCACTGATGTTCCAAAGCTTGAAAATACAAATTTCACAAATAGAAATTAACAATTTTCCATCTTAGGAGACTATTAAATTTTTAATTCTACGTTCATTATCAATAGTTGCAATTGTTGTGATAGAATCAAAATCTTGGCAATTCCTAAATTCAATAGTGCTATCCTTATTTGAAACCATAATTTTTTAATTAGGAATAAATACGGCAACATCAGTAAATAAAATAGGATATTTAATATAGTCAATTTTTATGGTGTATGTTTCTATTAAAGTATAATATTTTTAGGTTTTAATATTCCATAAGATTAAGTATTTAAAGTATTCTTTGTATTATTATTATGATCTTACATGGTTGGATTAAACTACAAATAGTCTCCCTTATCCTACACTAACACATAATGATAGATCTGAAGAAAAACTGCAGTGTTTAAATTAAATGTTAGGTGCTTTTAGTTTTTTAATCTAATATTCATATCTTTAATCTTCGTAAGAGTAATATATAAGACATGATTTGAGTTTTTCAATTGCATCTAAGAAATCTAATTTTTTTATTTTATTATTCATTAAGCAAAATATCTGAGAATCCTATCTCAAAAACATTGTTGTGTAATCAAAATTATTATATTCTATTTTCTTTAACAATATTAATTGCACCTAATCTTCTTCCTTGCAGAATTTCCAACAAAACATATATTAATTATCCCCTAAAAATAAAATTGAGTTTGGTGAACTTATTTTAAGAAAAGTAAATGGCTCATTTGGGTAATAATTATTGTAATTAATTTTAATATCTTCACTCTCAAAAAAACCAAAATCTTTTTAATAGTCATATAAGTATAAATCGGCTCTCCAATTACAATAAACTAAATAATTTTAATCAAAACAAAAATCAACAACCCAACAATCTTTGATGTTTTTAAATAAGCTATACTTATTTTGATCCCAATTATAAATAACACACTATTAACTATTATTGTTATCATATGTAATTACAGCAAGTGTCTATGTATCTTTAGTAAAAACAACTTACTTAATTTCATCGACAGATTTGTTAGGTAACTGTTGTACCTAATTATGAGTATTTAAATTATCCAAATAATTTATTGCAATTGAATAATCTTTATCGAAAGATATTAAACTTAAAATTGATTTTTAGATTATAACTTTTTTGTCTTCCTAAATGTTTTCAATTTATTAAGGTTAACCTTCAGCATTTTCTTATTCATTATTTTCAATTTAAATATTTTATTCATCTAAATTATCCATTTATTAAGGTTCATCATTATTTTCTATTTCTAAAGGTTCTTTATAAAAGAAGAACTACATCTTAATTATCGAGGCTTAATGGCATTGAAAAGAATGCTTTATTGTAAATTGATTTATTTCATAAACTAATATTTCATTTAATTCATTAGCTAATGCCAAAAGCATATCATCATCAGAAAATAATAATAGTTTAATTTTACTTTTTTAATCAATATTTTTTAATGTTATCATTGAATTTAATTCCACTACTCTTAAAATATTATTATTTTGACTATCATTAAGTCCAATTACTAAATGCTTTAGATTGTTAGATATTGTAAAATATTGAATATCAACATTTTCTAAATTTAATTCTAACTGAGAAATTGAAAAATTTTAATCTTGAACTAAATGATTAACATTCCATAGGTATATTTAATTCTTAAAATTTGTATAATAGAATTTGTCATCATCTGTAAAATATTGAAAAAAATCATCAGGTTCAATGTTTATATTAAGCTTACAAAGTAATTAATCGCCATCTAAAATTCTAAATACTACAATTTAACTATCAACTGATGATAATATTTTAGAATCATTTGAAAAGAGAAGATTAATGATTTTATCATTATTATGCTATTTCAATTTTATCAAATTTGGTTTAGAGTCTAGAGATAACTCACCTAAAATTAATTCATTTTGAGAGTCTACAGAACATATAAATTTAAAATCTTAAGAGATTTAGTAAAGCCTTATTTCAATTTCATCATATTCATATAATATAGCTGACTCATCAATTTTATCATTTTTCTCCCAGATCTCTGCTAAAGAAAAATAGTATTCTTAGTTATTATACTCTTTATATGTAAACAAGGTTAATGTAACAAACTATTTATCATTTGATAACAATTAAATCTTTTGAATGTTTCCTTTTATCGTAAAATTATAAGAGGGGCATCCACCAGGAATTATCTCAAATAAAGATTTTTGAATTGCTTAAATATATTAAATATTCCATAATTCAACTGTTTCTCCTTGTGTTATGATGAGATAATCCTAATTTTGTGTAATTGAAAAAGAGTTTATTAAGTAATCAAAAGTCTTTGAAATTATTAGGACCTTATGTTCCATATCCCATAATTTTAGAGTATAATCTATAGCTCCACTAGAATATAATAACAAACTATCTGCTGAAAACATTATATTGCTAATTCTATTCTCATGTCCATCCTAAGTTATCCTGTTAAAGTTAGCCTTTAAATTCCATAATCTTATCAATTTGTCATCACTACAAGATGCTAATGTTGAATTATCTTAAGAAATTTAGACTACATTAACTTTTTCTGAATAGCCTTCAAATTTAGCCATCACTTTTCTTGCTTTAAAGTCCCAAAAATAAATTATATTATTAGTTCCACATCCTGCTAAATATTTTGAATCTTAAGAGAATGAAAAATTTAAGAATTTAATATTCTCTCCCAATTTATTGAATTCTTAGTGATCTAAATTTTCATAAAAATAGACTTGGTTACCTGAAGAAAATACTAAATTTTTTCTATCTTTTGAAATTGCTATTGTATCGTAATCATCAGTGTTTCGATAATTATATTCTGTTTTATCATTGATCAAATTCTATACCATAAATCTGTTATAATCTAAATAAGCTACTTTTGAATCATTTAATAAAATAACTAAATCTTTCAAATGAAAATAACTAGAGATATTTATTTTTATTGATTTAATAAATTTTCTAGTAATCAAATCATTTATTTAAATAGAATTCTCACCTAAAGTTGAAGCTAGATATTTAGATGATGTTTTAGGATTAACAGAAGTTATTTTATCTTGAATAATTCCGATAAATTAAGGTTTATTAATGTCTGTGAGATTAACAAGAATTATTTATTCATATGCTAATACTAAATCTTCCCATCATTTGAAAATTAAACTGAATATGAATTTGAATATCTATATATTGATTATTAATCTTTATATTTGCTAAATTAAGAAATATTTTATTTTGATTTAATGTTGTATAATGTGTAATTTTAGTCATTCTGAAAAACTATATTTTCATTGTCTGGGCTAAACTCAAAATATCCTAATTCAGTGAATTCATCAATAGTAACATTCGATTCAAAATAGGATAATTTAGAAAGTTGGTAATTCCCATATAATAAATATTATAAGTTATTTGATATCCTTATTGTACTTTAATCATTATTCAGAATAAATCGTCGTTTACATATCAAATCTACAGGATAAATTGTTATTTATTTCTAATAATATTCATCTATTAGTTTTGCTAAATATTTTCCATCCTATGAAAAAGCAATTTTTTCTCTTGTTTAAAAACTATAATAGTCAATTAAAGTGAATTGATTATCTCCATCATTTCTCCAAATTTTAAAAGATTTATCTTCTTTTGTAAAGAGATATTTATCATTTTAAAACATTTTGGCATAAAATGCAGATTTCAAATTAGGAATTACTTCGAGTATATTGGTTGATTTGATATTCAAAATATATATCCCTGATGGAATAGTTACAACAAGTCTTTCTTAATCTTAACAATAAGTAACTGACTAAATGATATCAGGAAATGGATAAGTGAATACTATTTGATAGTTTTTATCATTATCCCAGATAATAACTTTTTCATCTATTCCACCAACTAAAAAAAGGTTATCAGCTGAAAATTAACATTGAATTTTCGATTAATCCGAACCCTATAATACTCCTAAATAATTAAATTCATCAAATTTAATCACCTAACTCATTTAAGAACAACAGCACAAAATACCTTATGTTTAATGTAAGCAACATATTTTTTCTACATTATAGCCTTAAAAAGAATCTGTGGCAGCACATAATTTGATTTATGGAAAATTTGATATGTCCCATAGCTTCAAAATGTTTCTTGCACTAATTAAATATTTTCCATTATATGTGAAACATAAACATTTGGTCAATTCTCCTGTGAAAAATGAATGCAATAATTATTTTGTCTCAAAATGCCAAAATTTGATAGTCAATTCTTCACTAGATGTAGCAAATATATTCTATTTTGGAGAAGATGCAATAGTTCTAACTTTCGAATTATCGTCTTTAAAAATAGAATTAGTTTAGTTAGAAAGGAAGTTCCAAATTTTTATTTCATCACTATTATAGAATGCAACTTATAGACTATCGCAAGAAAAGCAGATATCTGGAGATAATTAATAATCATAGTTTCCTACTTCATTAATTGATTCTTTTAATGTATATATTGAATTTAAAGAAAAATCCCATATTTTTATTAATTAATCTGTTTAGGATGTCATAGCCAAATATTTATCATCAAAAGAAAAAATCATGCAAGAAATCTTCTAATCAAATTGTTTTTCATGTTTTAGAGAAAATTTCACCCCTTCATAGGTCCAAATTTGTAATTATTAATCTTTATTAAAACTAGCGAAAAGAGATGATTAATGAGAAAAAATGCATTATTCAAAATTATTCTTACTGCTCTCGAATTCAACTTATTAGTCATTATCTAGATTAATAACATATTATGTTTTTCCCCTATAATTGTAATTAATCACAAATAATTAATCATTTTATGAAATAGAGACTTTCATACCATTATTATCGATTATGTTAAACTAGAGTTGATCTAAATTTATTATTACTACTCCTAATCCTTATCCATCTTTTTTAATAGCCATTCTATCATAATTAGAGGATATTGTTATATTTTAAGTGTAGGAAATTTAAAAGAAATTAATAAGTTGACATTTTTCCACTGACCAAAGTTTAACACCTTAATAATAATTTCCACTTAATAGTTTTTTTCCTTATTCAATGAATATAAGTTCATTGACTAGTGAATCATTTTCCAAAGTAGTTATTGGAGTGTTTGTTTATAATGACCATAGTGAGATTTATTTTTCAATACTTATAGCTATTAAATTTTCATCTGGTGAGAAATCTATACAAGTACAATTAATTATTTAATAATATTCTTCTTATTCTGATATGTTGCTACTATTTTAAATTAAAATTACATCTTAAAGAGTTTCTATTGATTTCTAATTATCTGTAGTGAATTATATATTATTAATTTGATATTTAGAAGAATTACGTAATAAATAAGGATAGTTAATGTTTTGAATATTCCAAACAGACAAATTATCAGACTCTGATTCATTAGATACACAAACAAGAAATTCAGATGTTTAATTGATTGCTAAATAAGTAATTGGAAAAGAAATGTCTATTATAGCTTCTACTTTTTATTCTATGACATCCCAAAGTGTAACTTTTTTGTCATCACTTAAAGATGCCAACATTTAGCCATTCTTAAAAAATGAAATAAACTTTATCTTACTGTCAGAGCTTTTTAGAATGAATCCATCTTTTTCATTAAAATTTGTTTTTATTAAATTGATATCCCAAAATTATATTAATCCGTTAAGATCAACAGCTAATAATTCTTTTTCATTTTATGACAACTGCATTTTTATGATTTTTTCTTATTTATTTATTACACAACTTGATTTTATGATTTTTTTTAGATCACTTATCTACCAAGTCTCAATTATATTTGTATCACTACATACAAATAAAAGTTAATCATCATCTGAGAATACTAAGTATTTTGGTATACCAGAAATATCACTAATTTCTCCTTCTTGTTAAAATGTTGTAACATCCCAAAATTTTATAACTTTTTGTGAATCTGCACTTGCTATCAATTTACCATTATTTGAATATTATATTACAACAACACTACCATTATGTCCTTATAATAATGGTTTCTCAGAACATATCATATTTGTCCATTTTGCCTCTTCCAAATTAGCTTGATCAAATAGGCATGAATCAATAATGGCTTCATTAAAAATAGATTTTTTAAATTTGCTTTTATAAAAAGATAATCCTTTAAGAGTTGTCTTTTCTATATGTATACCTGAAAAATCTTGCTCTCCTAGATACACTTATAAATAACTTAATAAACAAAAACTATTTGAAGAAGCTATTTTTAATTTTTCATTTACAGATAATTTAGCAATAGAAATTAATTTAAGGTTATTTTCATTCTTAAGTTTAAGGTTTTCTTTTAATATTCTCAAAGACCCAAAGTAATTTTCAAAAGAGATATTAAATTCTTTCTTATTAAATACTGATTTTTCTAAATAACTTACACTTCTTTGAGTAAGTTAATTGTCAATGAATTAAAGTTTATCAATTAAATTATTTATATGTTTGGCTACATAAAATTCTTATAAAGATTTATGATTAAATGTATAGCTTTTCCCTTTCACATTAATCAATGCTGAACTTCTAACAACTTTCCTATAGTCATCTTCCAAATCATCAAAATATTATATTTTCCAATCATCTTCATTATTTTAGTCAAAATAATGATTTTTTAATTTTAATCTACCTTTTTGTTCATAATTAACTTATGTTGTTTAATTCATTGTCATTTCTATAGCTAATGATTCTGAAAATTATAATAAATCTATCGTAAAACTATCTACATTTTCAACTTTTCCCAATTATCTTAGTTTCTATATTTATTATTCATGATAAAATTCTATAAAGTTTTAATAGAATTCATAAATTGTAAATATCTTCATTTTCAAAGCAGCAATTACAATTTTCAAATCATCTTCACTTATATTTATTATTTAATTGTTTATCAAAGATATATCAGTTATTGAATACTTTTCAAAAAAGTGTTAACTTTCTAATTTTTCAAGAATAATTTATAAACTTTTTAAATCTTATTGATCCTCTTAATCTTGTTCAATTTCACTTTACTTATATGTATTTTCCTCTACAATTATTTGTACTTTTTTTTACTCTTAATAAATAAATTTTGATAATTTCTTTTTTGATAGATTTTCCTTACTTTTTAGTATTAAGAAGTTCTTCTGAAACATTTCCTTAATTTCTTGAGATCCTTTATATTTTTAAGAAAGGTTTGGAAGAGTTTAGACTACTATTTCAAGCATAAATGGAGTCTATAAGAAATGTTAAATGTTTAGATTTTCNTACCATTATGTCCTTATAATAATGGTTTCTCAGAACATATCATATTTGTCCATTTTGCCTCTTCCAAATTAGCTTGATCAAATAGGCATGAATCAATAATGGCTTCATTAAAAATAGATTTTTTAAATTTGCTTTTATAAAAAGATAATCCTTTAAGAGTTGTCTTTTCTATATGTATACCTGAAAAATCTTGCTCTCCTAGATACACTTATAAATAACTTAATAAACAAAAACTATTTGAAGAAGCTATTTTTAATTTTTCATTTACAGATAATTTAGCAATAGAAATTAATTTAAGGTTATTTTCATTCTTAAGTTTAAGGTTTTCTTTTAATATTCTCAAAGACCCAAAGTAATTTTCAAAAGAGATATTAAATTCTTTCTTATTAAATACTGATTTTTCTAAATAACTTACACTTCTTTGAGTAAGTTAATTGTCAATGAATTAAAGTTTATCAATTAAATTATTTATATGTTTGGCTACATAAAATTCTTATAAAGATTTATGATTAAATGTATAGCTTTTCCCTTTCACATTAATCAATGCTGAACTTCTAACAACTTTCCTATAGTCATCTTCCAAATCATCAAAATATTATATTTTCCAATCATCTTCATTATTTTAGTCAAAATAATGATTTTTTAATTTTAATCTACCTTTTTGTTCATAATTAACTTATGTTGTTTAATTCATTGTCATTTCTATAGCTAATGATTCTGAAAATTATAATAAATCTATCGTAAAACTATCTACATTTTCAACTTTTCCCAATTATCTTAGTTTCTATATTTATTATTCATGATAAAATTCTATAAAGTTTTAATAGAATTCATAAATTGTAAATATCTTCATTTTCAAAGCAGCAATTACAATTTTCAAATCATCTTCACTTATATTTATTATTTAATTGTTTATCAAAGATATATCAGTTATTGAATACTTTTCAAAAAAGTGTTAACTTTCTAATTTTTCAAGAATAATTTATAAACTTTTTAAATCTTATTGATCCTCTTAATCTTGTTCAATTTCACTTTACTTATATGTATTTTCCTCTACAATTATTTGTACTTTTTTTTACTCTTAATAAATAAATTTTGATAATTTCTTTTTTGATAGATTTTCCTTACTTTTTAGTATTAAGAAGTTCTTCTGAAACATTTCCTTAATTTCTTGAGATCCTTTATATTTTTAAGAAAGGTTTGGAAGAGTTTAGACTACTATTTCAAGCATAAATGGAGTCTATAAGAAATGTTAAATGTTTAGATTTTCAATAGTTTTATTAAATAACCCTGCACTCCATAAATCTTTAAGTTCTTTTTTTAAGATAATTAACTAATCTTCTTAAACATATTGGAATGCAGGTTATTTTTATATAATTTCCAAAATATTCTCAATTTATTCATCAGTTAGTAACATAGTAGAATTCTCATTAATTCCATCTTCATCATCTACTTAATCTAAAATATTATTCCAAATCTCTAAAAATTCTTTAACATCTAAATTCTATTGTTTTATTTACTTAACAAAATCATATGATGATTTAATTCTTCTTTTAATACTCAATTTAACATAATGTTTAAGGTAATTCTCACTTTGTTGTTTATCAAAATTCATGATTTCGACTTCTTTTAGTGTTTATAGGCTTTCGCCATAAAACCATGTTTAATATCCTAAACTTGTTAATATTTCTTTACGAGTTGTTATTATAAATTTTACTTTTTTTATTTAATCAACTTAATTAAGATCTTAGATTAATCTATTTGTTAATATTAAATTGGATTATATACAATCTTGCTTCATTTCATCGTAACTATCAAGTATCAACACTAATTTAATCTTATTACTCGAAATTGCTTCTTTAAAATCTTTTAATTGCAACTTATCAAACCCATAATTTTCTGATTCAAGTGTTTGGTCCAATAGATTAAATTTTGGGTTTTTTAATTATGGTAATGATATATATATTGGAATCCAATCCTTTTCGTCTAATTTTTGTTTCCATAGATAAGCTTCAATTTTTCTAGCTGCTCGACTTTTACCCGAACCAGCTTGACCTTTTATCAACATTACATCTTTTTATTATTCATCATAGATAAATTAATTCACTTCTCCTTCCCTCCCTTCTATTTTGTTTTATCTAACCTCTTCAACAAGCAACTCAGAAAATGTTTAACCTGAAAGAGTGTTTTAGACTTACCCTGTAACTGGATTGATTTCCTATGTTTTTAGTGGAATGTATACAGAATCAACCTCCAAAAGATAAGCTTAAGATAACACCTTTTCTTTTCTTATTAAAAGCAACTCATCATATTTTTTTCCTCTTAATTTTCTCACATCATTTCCAATCTCATTTATTGATTCCTAGAGATCATCTATTTTCTTTTTTATTTATTTTATATTTTTTAAAAGTTCTTTTAAAAAGATTAAAGTAATATCCAATTGCTAAGACATTTCAGAAATATTATCTAGAAATTCTTCAAGCTCCTCATATTGGTTTGTTAATTATTTTGACAATTCATCTCGCTTAGATTGATTGCCTTCAAAACGAATTGCTTATTCAATATCATCCAATTCCTTCAATTTTTAATTCATCTCTTCTTTCATACTTGAAGAGAAAGTTTTTAGATCATGAGAGAATAGTAATTTTTAGATTTCTATCATCTCTTTATTTTTTAGAAAAGCTCTAACACTTTCATCCTTTTCTATCATCCATATTCGTTTTATATATTCTTGACAAAGCAATAATAATTCTTTTTCAGGGACTTAGGATTAAATTTTTATTAAATGAAAGAGGAAACATTAACGAACTATATAATCTTTACTTAAATCATAGATTTTTCTTTCCACTATCATTTCCTATTCTAAATTATCTAATAATTCTTAGTAGTCTTTATCTATCTAAACTGCTGTTTATGAAGTTATCTAATAATAACAAAAAATAGTGGCAAAATCTTTTAAAGTAAAGTTTATTTTATTTTTTATTTAAGTTCCTGAATTTTACTATTTATCTAAATTATTCTATATAAATTCATTTAATAATTAATCTAATTATAATTAAATAATTAATTCTTTGATTATTGATTTAACATTATCTAAGAAATGTTTTTGAAAATGATCTTCAGTAAAAAACTCAAAACCCATACAATTTTAATGAACATACTTAGATAATTCTTACATATTATCAATGATTCCGTTAATATTCATTATTTAGTTATTCAATTCATTTATATTTTCCGAAATCAGTATTAAATACTCATTCTACTCATTGCTTACTGCCTAAATTTGATCTTATGTATTCTTATATTGAATATTATTTAATATTTAATTTTAATCATATTATTGGTATAACTCCAATATTTCTTTTTTGCATTATTCAATATCTTAATATGAGGACAAATTTAATTTAAAAAATGAATTATAGAGTTAAGTTTATAGAATTAATGCTGAAATTACTAAGCTATTCTATTAAGAAGCAAAATTAGCTATAATTCTATCTCTTAATTTTACAAATTACTCAAGTATTGTGTCAATACAATTTTTATCTTTTAGATCCTTCTACATTAATACTTCAATATCTTTTTTTTGTTCCAAAATCAATGCACTTATTGATATTTCTTATTATTGGTTATTGTCTTATTATTTAAGCTCTTTGTTTTATTTAGTTTCTAAAGTAGATTTGAGATTGAACTCTAATTTTGAAAAAATATAAACTTTCTACATATTCTAACCTTTTAAAATTTTCATCATTTTTATATAGTTTTATATTTTCAGGTCAAATTTTTATATATCTTCAAGAGTTTGAAATTTCTATTGAATAAGAAATTCCTTAAATTCTTTATGGTATTCATTATTAATAAACTGTATTTTATTCCTTTCAATAATATCAACTAAGAATTCACTTATTTTTAAATCTTATTATTCATTATTTGTTATGAATGTTAGCTTATTGTTAAGCCTCCAAAAGTTCTATAATAATTTTTATTAAATATTAAGCTCTTATAAAAATTTTTCTATTTAAATCTAAGCATCCCGGATAAATAAATTTAAATCATTCTCTTGAATTTATTTTTATTACTATTTGGATTCTGTTTTCTCAAATTTAGAAAATTTGAAGTGAAATCCTCTTAGTTTTGTAATTTGATCTAAAATTTAGTTGTATTTATTTGGAAAATCTAATTTGATCCACCCATCATAAATATTTTCAAGCTATTTTTATTAAACTTCTTCTTTATTTTAATCTTTTTAATTCTAATTTTGCTTATCTTTTTGATTTAAATTTTCATACAATTTAACTTATTCATAGCAGATTTCTATTCTCTTTTTCTCAACAATCATAGTAAAATCAACTTCATGAAGTAAATATGAAAGTTTTGATAGGCTAAACTCTAATTATTGAACTTCTCCTTCTTTATTAAAAACTAGATCATAATTATAGCCGTTATTTTTTGTTTAAACATCTTATGAAGGTAATTGGGATGATTCAACTTAGCTTTCAATATATTATTCTGAGATTTTGTCTTTAATAACTTATAACAATTATTATAACCGTTAAAGTTTCTTCATTTATTCATCAACACCAAATAATTCAAATCTTGGTGGTAGATTGTTTTTTTCTTCTTGTTTTTTTAGTTTTTTAAATGTAAAATCTACATAAAATTGAAAGAAATTTTATTTATTAGAAAATTTTTGGTTTATTATAACATTTTAAAAAAATTTCATCCTTTCCAAACCTAATCCATTTAAAATTTGTTCCGTTTCATAATCAATAGACTTAAAGGAGCAACTATTATTTAGTTTCCCAAGTTATTTATCATAAGGCAATATCTAAATAATATTTTGCTTAATTAATTAATTCCATAATTATTTTTATTTCATATCATCTTAGTTTTTTAAAAAGATCGTTTTTGATATAATTTACCTATATGAAATCAAATCTGAGACAGTATTTATCCAACAAAAATGTACTATCCAATTATCTGAATTCTAAACATATTATTAATATCCTAACTAAAGATTTGCAATTTATTTATTTACTACATTCTATTCTTGAATATTTTTTATGATGCTCCATTTTAACAGAAAGAAGAAATAATATATTTGATATGTTTGAATAGGATAAGAAAATTGGTTGTATTTTTCAATAAGCAAATATTTTGCAAAATCAAATAATGCATTTGTAAAATCTTCACTTATTGAAAGTGATAATAAAGAAGAGAATGCAGAGGATGCAATCGATATTAATTTATCTTATTATTCCTTAGAGTTTGTCCTACTATTTATTAAGACTATTTTTATTAGAGTTATCTAAAAATCAAGTCCACTTGTCCAAAAATTTTAATAGACTTCAAGATCTTGCTTGATAATATCAATCATAGATAATAATTCATCATGTACTTCAACCAATAGTACGCGCTATTCATCTTTTAGCTAATAAGTATAAATTATCATTAATAAATCATTACAAACTTCCAAAACATAATAACAAAGACAACCTGATCCTCTTAAATAAACTGATATAACTGAAATAAGCTATCTAAATTAATTTAATGCTAAATCATAGAGCATTAAAATTAAATTGTCATTTTTACAAATTTCACAAATCCAATATCGATTATCAAAAAACCATTATAATGACATCATTATTTCATTCCTAGAAAAATTGTCTAAAAGTTAATCACATTTATCAACAAGCAATTGACTATTTAATTTCATTGTTTATAAGTAATTCATAGGAATTGTGTTTTACATTTGACTTTTTATCTTTGCTTTTGATCCTACGCATCCTCCTCCTCGAAGGGATAGGGTTGGAGTTGACTTAATTATATTATCAACTTTATCAAAATACAATTCTAGAGTATACCTGCTAATTAAAAACTCTTTACTAGTATTTAAGCATCTCTTTTTAAAATCAATATTGGAGGATAACTAGCTTTTAAATGATTTCATACTTTAGTTCTAGTTATAGAATACAATAGTCTAAAAATCATATTAAATTTCTTTTTAATATAAAGCTGCTGAAATGATTTTTATTTCCTTAAAAAGTAAAAAATAAACTAACAAGATTTGTAACTGCAAAAATACATCATATATAAATTAAATGAAGAATTTATAAACATCAAGCCAATATTTCATAGAAATGTAAGAACATTCATTAAAATATTTAGATTAGATTTAGTTATTTATTAACCAAATAATTTTGATAGTAAAAAATAACAAATAAATCTCACATGTATTTCAATAATGAAAAAAGTTGTGTATAAAATAAATTTAAGTATAAATTTTGATATTGATATTGATATTAATATTATTTTTATTATTATATAGAATAAAATGCGAAATGCAAGAATTATATTTTGCTCCCTATTCAAACCAATTAAAACTTAATTTAAATATACTTAGACATTTTGTATTTTATGATTAGTTGGGATTTGACGTTGAATATATTAAGGCTTATTTTCTGAATTACTTTAAGTATAATATCATTAAAGGCAGCCAAGGTAAATTTAACACCTTTCTTAATTATGAAATTTTATTTTCTCTTTGAAAATTAAGCTTTTATTATAAAAATTAAGAAGTTAATTTTTTATTTCATTTAAATTGGATACACTTTCACTTTGGATAAACTTTTAATTTTTACGACTTGCAGTTAAATCTGCTTAATTGAAAATTAATCACTTAAATTTTATATGAGTTTATTATTTTATTTATACTAAAACTCTAGTTTAGTTCTCTAAGTTATTATTTGAAAGCTTAATAGCTTTTTAAATTTATATTTATGGCATCTTATTAATATTATTAATATCAATCTTATATTAGGATTATAACAAATGAAAAAAAAATCTATTATTTTTGCATTTATAGATTTATTAATTACATTATCAGCATATTATTTCCATTTAAAAAGAATGAATTCTTCTTATGTACTGATATTCAATTCATCTTAATTCTATTTCTTAAAACAAAGTTAAAATATGCTATAACACTATTCTTCAATCAGATGATCGTTAATTTGGCTTATAATTTGATTTTACTAATAAGTTTATTATGAACTTATGTAAGGTTATGAAATTACTAATTTTGTTTTTAAACTACCAAACATATGCTCAATTGCATTAAATTTATTTCTATAAGTAGGAGTAAACATGTTGGGAACCCAGTTTAAGAATTATTTCATGAAACCTGACTTATGCACAGCACGATTACCCATTACTTAATCTATAAAAACCTAACACTATTATCTTGATGTTATCTGTGATGGAATTCTATGTATTTTAGTTTGGTATGTTATTATTATCAGGAAAACCAATATATTTTAAGATAACAAGCTGGTTTTTTTAGAAGAAAGGGCTGAGATAAATAAAATAATCTTTGAATGATTATAACAGAAAGGAAGGATATTCTATATTCATAAGATAAGCGTAGTCTACTTCTTAGTTAAATTTAAGAAATGTATCAACCAAATAAAGAGAATAGAGTTATTCAATAAATAAAATAAATAATAATTTTGCTCTTATCACTATGGAGAGATGCATCTTACTCTTTTAGAAAGCTTTATGAAGCTTAAGTCAATCGAACTTGGTAAATGAAAAGAACTGGAGTTGGAAATGATCCAAATATTTGAAAATAGTAAAACAGCCCTTATGAATTTTAATTAACAATTTATATCCAAAAAACATCTTTATTATAAAAATAAAATAAAAAAAATGTGATTAATAAACAAAATCAGGTAATCATAACCAAAGTACTTAAGACTAAAGGGTAATGTGTAAAATTTGAAGGAGAAGTAAGTGTTTTATAAGTAAAAAAATAATCAACAGAGAGGAATTAATAAAAATCGATAATTATTGAATAAAAAGTAGAACGCTAATAGCTGGCTTAATAAATACATATTTAAACACCAAAAAAGAAACATCGACACAGAAGCAAGTTAGATTTCAAACACCGAGGAAACCTAATTAAAAGATTTATTAAGAGGAAAGAGTGATATTGGAATATATTAGTGTGAATGTTAAACCTGAGTACTTTAACATGGAATGGATATATGAAACTATATTTGATAGGGTATAAGTATTGGTATAATATAATCACAATATTGGAATGGTTGCCAAACAAACTCTGTGGAGACCAAACTTCTCTGTTATATCTTAAGTTGGTAAGAACAGTTTGAGGTTGCAGACTTTACATGATTTAGTATCACAAGAAATATTTAATATTGCTCTAATGAGATTTTGAGAGTATTAATCATATTTTAATTACATATCCATTACTAATCAAAGTCTTAATATACTTTTGCTTTATATATTAATGATGTTAAAAACTCTTAGAATATTTATCCTTTACCTATCCTTTTAAAAAACTAAGAATATAAACAATCATCTAATCTTAGGGCATCAATCAAGTATTTGAATGCTGAATTTCTATAAGAAGTTTATTTAAAGAATCCTAATACATGCCGTATTTTTTTTGTAGCTAACTTTTTTTTTAGATATATCCAAGCATTCATGGATGAATATCAATTTATAGTTTATGATTAAAATCCCACATAAAATTGAGATAAAATATTTGAGTCTTCCTTCTTTCCATTTTTTTTAATTTTAATGATTTAATTGATGGAGTTCGATATCTTATTTTCCATTCATGTAGTATTTTTGAAATTATAGAATACTGTAGTCATTGTGATGATAGAAAGCAAGAATGGCATTTCTATGAGATTAAGAATTAAATAATATCAAATTTGATTTTTGTTAAGCTTGTTCATAACTAAACTCCTTTTATGTTATGTCAGTAAAATTTATTATCCGTTAGTAACACGCTCAATTATCATATTATTTTTCCAGACTTTTTGAGTTGACACACCAGGAAAATAGTAGCTATTATACTTTTTTATATCCTTATTCTTATAATTCGCTTATTTAACTTCTTTCTTCCTAAGTCAAATTTGTAAGTTATTTCTTTATTTTTTCATAATCTTTGGCTGAATTTTTTGAGACTTCATAATTTCTCTACTATTTTTAATTATTTTAAATGAAAATTTTGCAATTACCTAAAGGCAAAGGTTCTATTTATATATTTCTACTATGAATTGGTTGGTTTTGATATTGTTATAAATTAAAGTTTAGACAACTATCCTCTCAATTAGTGTTTTTGTTATTAATGATTAAAATTAGTATACAATTTATCGGTTTTCAATAATAATAATTTGAATAATATTCAATTTCTCATAATAGGTTGTACTATTTCTGATAGACTGAAAACTTTACTCTCAACCAGAATTTGCAGTTTTAATGCATAACTTGAATTTTCTTGCAAACATAATCTTAATAAAACTACATTAAATAGATTTAAGAACAAGATAGTAAATAACCATTTAGTTCTTCTTCAAAATCATCATATTCTTTCTTTAATTAGGAATCAAGCATTTCTAAGTGATGGAAAGTCCATCTCTCACCACATTTACATTATCTCCAAGCATCTTTTTATCTATCTAAATAGCCTCTGTTTGGAATGTATTTAATCTTAAGATTACTTTTGATTAATCTTAATATTTCCTTCTTTTTGTAAAAAGAACCTTTAATTTCGCTATTCTTAATTCTTAAACCGAACTCTTCAAGTTCAAAATCAAATATAGTTTCTAACAGTCTCATTTTAGTAAAGGGTTAGTTACTCCTCTTTAACTCCAATCTATATCTTAACAGTTATTTTGAGGTAGACTATAATATTGCATTAGGTCTAAATCCAAATTATTTCCAAATTTTATCTACTTCCTCATTAGCTTGATATTATGGCAATCTTAATG